TACGTGAGGCAGACTCTGTAGACTCTTTTAAAAAGCAGCTCTAGACACTCCTATTTAGACAGGCTTTTAGTTGACTGTGTCTGTAATTCCTCTGTTCTTGTTTATGTTGTTTTTATGTTGTTTTTTGCTCTGTAAAGCACTTTGTGATTTTTTATATTATTTTTTTAATCTGTGAAAGGTGCTATATAATAAAGATTTACTTACTTACTTACTTACTAAAGCCAGTGGTGTCAGAGAATTCAGTGAAGTCACCTTGTTTTAATGCAGCTACAGGTCAAGTGTTTGAGCCCAAATTGAAATGTGCAAGAATTGTTTGCTTGTACTTGAAATTCATGCAATGCCTCACATCTAAGTGAACCAGCCAACTGCACAGAGTCCCTTATTCAACAGTGAAGGTACCTAGCCTGATTCATCAGCCGATTTCACTTCGTGGAAATCGTCTGACCTCACAGAATTAGGATTAGTTCACTCAACAGTAGGCAGGCAATCGCTGCTATTTGGTTGGAACGTATGTAATGCGCCGATAATGGGGCTAACTGGTATATTAAGCTTTTCCCAAATCCCGTAGGAAGAAGGACAATAATGTCTTTCCCCTTCTTAAAATTCACCAGACATTCTCTTTGTTCCAGCTTTAAATCCTCAATCTTGGGAATCGTTGCCAACACAGAATTTATGGCTTCGTCTACATCTATCTACATCCTCGCCCACATTGTGCTGTACCACAAAAAAGGACCCAGTCATGGCTTCACAGCTGATCACTGATTGGCCGGTGTGCAGTATACAACTTCCGGGGTTCTTGCAAACCGTCTACTGTACTCCAATTGCTGACCTAGTCGCAGGAGAGAAATTAAATTGAGCGGCGGCACTAGGTGGCACCAGCCTGGCTAGAAGGTACCAGTCACTGTGAGTTTTTCTGGTGGGCACCCGTCAGCTTGTCTCTATGGAGATGACAGAGTTTTGCATGGAATCTTACACAGTATGGCATTTCAGTCTTCTACCTTAAATGTATTCAGTTCCAAATGTATTTATTGCCTTGAAAAACATGTTCTGATTATAAGCAGGATCTACCCCTGACTATGTTAACACCATAGATTATATAAACAAGTGGATTAAGGGAGTGTGATGCCACCCATAGCTTTCCGCTCCAGTCAAATGAAGCTCATTGAAGCTTGCAGTTACATGGGCAAATTTGGTGCGAGTTCCAAATTAGGAATAGGAACTGATTTAGGGACTAAATTGTGAAATAAAAACATGATCATGTAGAGCAGGTTAATACGATCATTTTAACACCACAATGAAAGACAGAAAGAACGACAATCATTTTTTCAATACAAAGTGAATTGGAGCCGGCTAGCAGTTTAGCTATGTCCATTTGCAGTCTATAGTTAATATCCAATGTTCTATCAACCAAAGTCACGTAAATCAAGTTCTGACCCAATTCTCAAATGCTACCACAAAACCAGAAAGAGAAAGTGTGGACATCAACAATCTACTCCAAATCTTTCAAACTTTTAAACTGTGCCTGTGGGTACTCTTTAAAACTCCACTGTCTATCCACCTGAGTCTTGAGCATTACACAGGTGTGAGGCGCCATCCTTAACCTTCACTATAATGAGCCTTTAGTTTCTTTTCTGAGTCGACTTTCACCCCGTGCACGCCTCTCTCAATCATCAGATGCTATCCCACAGCGCAGTCCGTGACAATGTGCTGCCTATAGAGCCAAACATGGGAAGAATATCAATGGATTCTTCGCAAGGGCCCAACCTCCTCTGCCTCCTCTCATTTCCCAAATGTGCAGGAAAGTGACCCTCGCTTGCACACTGACGAACAAGTTGTCTTCAAGTTGCACTGTGTAACTTTTCTCCATAGAGATGTTACTGCTTTGTCTAAAATGTTTCACAGTAATAAGTATGTTTTATATATATATATATATATATATATATATATATATATATATAGAAAGGGAGAGCTTTTCTACCTTCAAGTCACTCAAAGCACTTACCATCAAGAAACCACTCACCTATTCACACCCACAGTCATTCACCAGGGTACACGGACACTGAGGTGGGTTAAGTGTCTTGGCCAAGGACACCACAGCATTCATCTGTGGGAGCTGGATTTGCACCGTCAACAAGTGAGTCAGTGGACCTGACTGCTCTACCAATGCTGTTTTTACATCAAGAGCGGGATTCTGCCAATCTTCAGATGAGTGAACAAACACCCTGCTAACTGAGCTACTGTCGCCCAGTATTTCACTAAACCGTTCTATCATCATGGAGACCAAACCAGGGGAAGTTACTGGTCAGATCTGTGGAGAGGCTACCCCGCTCATAGTCAGAATGCCTGTATTTCTATCTCTAGGTATTTTTGAGCAGTGTGATTCTATAATTAGGGGAACATTTCACTTCAGCCAAAAGTGAAATAATAAGTTTAGTTTTTTTGCTATTGCTAATTACATATTTTCGAAATAGACCCCCAAGGGGACAGAATTATTTGGCCAGCTTTTTGAATTATTCATGTTTTAAAAGTGTTTAAACAACAAGTAATGAGGGGTAGGTAATGGGTAATCAACACTTTATATTGATGTTCTCAAAGTATCACAGTTTTGATACCAAATTAGTTTGAAAGCTTTTGTGTCCTTTTGGCATCGGCTGTAGTGTTTTTTGTTATAAGTTTAAAACTTCTGCATAACTTTAAAATGTACACATATATACATTGGTGGTTGTATTTGTGTAAAGGGTCATATTTCAGTGATGCTCGCTGTCATTTCTTATGCAATACGTCCAAATATTTAAGAAATGGCCCAAAAAAGATCAGCTGGGTAACATTACCCAGTTGACACATCATGGTCTATTATAATAAGTATTTTTCAGATACATTTGTTGAAATCTATAATCCATTGAACATGAATGAAAAAGCTTTAACACTTTAGATAAAGCAAGAAAAATGTATGTATCTGCTTCAAAAGCGTAAAAACAACCACCAAATCTCACCAATGTCAACTGATTTCATAATGGAGTCCATGGAAAACATTACTGAGTTGACATGTTACCCAGTTGAGATTTTGTAACATTTTAGGATGTTGTGTTTATTACAGAGGTGATACAACCCCCACATAACCGTGGCCTATTGTTGTCATTAAGATCATTCCATACCCGTTACCGAATTTAAAATCTAATATAGTTCTACAAAAAACTTGTGCGTTATCCAGTTGATGTCTGAAAAGTACTGCAGCTGGGTGGGATGATTCTTTCAAAGAAGTGAGTTAAACCGGAGCAGTCTCTTTCAAATCTTACTCCACAAAGGCTGAGGCTTCATTGTGTTGAGTTTGTGACTACAGAGTGAAGCATTGCAGTTTTGTGAGGGATTATCCAAGGTGTTACCCAGTTGACAAAATTTGTTTGGACAAGCACATATGAAAGTATTCAATATAAAAGTCACGGGTACAAAAGTTTTAAACGTTTAAATCAGTCTTTTCTAACATTTAGATGTTGGATTTTTATGTGAAACATTGAAATTTGTAAAGCGCACAAGCAAAAAATGTTATTTTCACCACATAAACTAATGGATTCTGCAAAAATCAATAATGCTATCAAGGCTTCTAATTTTGTCCAAAGAGGGGCTGATGGACCAATGTAAAAACTATCATTGCTTTAAGAAAATAATTGCACAATTGATTTAAAAAAAAAAAGAAGGTGAATGGACATGAAATATACCCCTAATTATAGAACCATCCACCTATAAACCACCTGTAACTGAATAAATGTAAGGTAGAGCTGTTACTGTGATACTGTGGAACATTCAAAGCAGAGAAATGACATATCCATAGAAACAAGGAGATGGACCCCTAATTGAAAAGTTACACAGTGCACATTTAAGAAATATTCCCAGCATGCTCCAAAAGGTAAACCTGTAGCTTTTCTCAAAACAAAATAACATAATTGAATCACTAGAGAAATCACAGGCTATGAAATCATGGAAGCTGCATGTTCTACTATAGCTCAATACATTTCATCTCTCCAAATGACTTCTCGTAAAAACCTCTCCAATAAATGAAAAATTTAAATGTGTATCATGTTAGCGGAGATGAGACTGCAATCTGTTACAAAGCCAGCCTGAGTAGACAGAAATCAATACACGCATTTACCTGGTTACATACATGAAACTGGGCTTGTATAGTGAACTAAAATGGAGCTAATCCTAACAATGCAGGACCACACAAAAGCAGAGTTAGTAAAAGTGGACTGTGCATCAAAACTCAATCAGTTTAATCTCAGATATCCTGTAGTCTGTTTGCCTGGACTGCTGGCGTTATTTACCAAGCAAGACTGGTTCAATCTTGTGCGTAAAGATCTGTATTCGTTGACATTTGACCGTGCTGACATGCGATCTTGACATTAAAATGGAAACTGTAGTGGCTGCTTGTATTGGCAAGATGGTTGAGATGTATGCCTTGTGATTTTCTCTCAAATGTGGCGTTTAACCGGTTTATTGATTTATGTACGTGTGGCTACCGGCTGAGGCTGCGTTGTTCTATCATTTATTTAAGGGGGAGACGCAAAAAAAACACGTGGCACAGGCTTCAGGGAGCAAAATGATAGCGCTGTCCAGGCAATCCACAGTGACACGTGCGTTGTAAATAGTCCCACTTTGAAGTATCGCGTTAGGATAATTGCTTTTGCGAAATTTGACTCGTATAATCAAATCAAGGCAGCTCTAATAGAATTTCGCTTTGAACTGATGCCTGCCCAAGTGTGCACGCGTTTTAACCTCACGCAGGGTTTGAAATGAGTAAAAATACAATATGATAAAGCCACACAAGAACACGGTGGGAAATGTCAGCAGCCCTGTTGGTCTTATTGGATCATATTATATTACCCCGTGGTGAATGTGCACCGCGGGACTGAGTGTCACCGCGCGCAGATCGCCATCCAGTGCAGTTCGATTCAACTTCACATCAGTCACAGGCGAGGGGAAAAGTACACGGAAGGAAGGCTTACCTTATCAATGCTGCATCCCAAGTGCAGCGGAGGTCGTGGTGCATAAGAATGGAGTAAAGAGAAGTAGGATGACTGGAGACACCTAATCCTGTTCTTATTGTCCACCAGACCACGTCAAAACCAGCGTAATCTTCAAGTGTCCCAGTCCTGAACGCGCATATATCAACAGTAGTGGGTAAAAACGTTAGCACAAAAAGAAAGCGCGCGGGGACTGCCAACTTCACTGTATTCCTTCAAACAAAATCAGAAGATAGGTGCTTTTTCCTGATGATAAAGTCCAGTAAGTGAATTGTTTTCTCGGATACGCGTCGCTGACAGGTGGCAAACGCAACCACCAGCGGAAAAGCCTTGCTCATCATCCAGCGGTAGGATGTGGAGACTGCCAAAGCCATAGAGCGACTCTGTGGGAAGATTAACCCGTGAGTTATGTAGGTTTTTTTTTTTTTTTTTTTTTTCCCCCAACCCAATCTGCCGCTTTCTCTTTCCTTGCGCTCTGGCGCCACCCAAAGCTAAGCAGCACCGAGGCGCGGGACAACCCCTCATCAAAACCCGTCAAAGTTTTCAATCTGTTATCGTGAAGGCTACTGTAAGACAATATACGAGCTATCACTTAAAAAAAAAAAAAAAAAAAAAAAAAAAGTTTTAAAAAAGTGTTTATATTGCGTAATTTCATTTTTTAATGTTTGCTACACATTACAAGTCAAATTAGTCAAATTAAATGTAACAGGTATTAAAACTCATGTTCATAAAATTATTAACAACATGGACTGATCGTGCCGATATGTCGAGCCTCACTGACTGTATATTATATTCTTCTATTAAACAAAATCTAAACAGGCATAGGCTATAAGATGAGAAGAAGCAGGCACATTGTAAACATGTAGTTAGATTTAAGTCTTAAAAGTTATTATTATATTATTATTTTATTTTATTTTATTTTTATATTTTTGCATAACTTCAACTTAAAATTAGGCCTATATGATGTTGATAATAATATAAATTCAGTAGCCTGGTTTTGTATTATTAGATCAGGTTATTTTGTTGTTGACGCGCTTCCGTCAGTCTGTCCCAGGGCAGCTGTGGCTACAATAGCAGCTTACCATCGCCGGGTATGAAGTGAATGAATAATGCTCTGTAAAGCATCTTTGTGACAAATGTCTGTGAAAAGAGCTGTATAAAGAAAGACTTACTTGTGTTAAATCTTTTTCAGTTTTTCTGCGTTAAATATTGCTTTTTGTTTGTTTATTAGTTTTGTTTGTTTTTAATACCACCATATAATAACATTTATTGAACAAAATTATATTATTATATTTATACTCCTCTTTGGACGTTGATCAACTTTGTTAGCCACAGAAATGAAGAGAAATGGAAATAAAACCATTTTATTTTAGTTCTTTCTTTGCCTATATTCCACATGTATTGAACCAGAACATCAACAAGACCTTTGGCAGTCACAACGTGTAGACTTTTTATATGGAAAATTCAAAACTCTGCTCGGTCCATTTGTGCTGATAAACAAACTCGCGCACAGGCTGTAAACATGTTTGCTCCACTTGTGAAGTCACCTCGGAGTTCATGGATTTTCTCTGCTTGTACGAGCTTCCCACAAGAATTTCAGAGTTGGGCAATTTGCAGTTTTGATACAAACCTAGCCTACGTTCCTTTCCACTTCTTTGGTTCACATTTTCAATACTTTTATTTTGACAAACAGAGTCTAGCTCAACTTTTTTCTTGAGTAAATAAATAAGTTTACTTGCACAAGATCTAAGAAAACACGCAGGTAGCTTACATATTCTCTCTAATATAGTTCTTTTGTAAATCTTAAACTATAAAAAAAACAATACAAATATAAATGGACATAGCTGACCCGCTTGCCCCGCTGTTCCGAATGGGAATTGTCCATGGGAACGCTTCTGGCTCCATCGACTCTGTTTCCAATTGACTTTACATTGAGAAACTGTCACCCCTCTCTCTGTAACTGCTACAGTACACTTCATCATTCATCATTTTGGTCTTAAAATGTTCGTATTAACTCGCTTTACATGATCCCGGTGTTTTTATTTTGCCATTTTTGTCCGTTAATTCATTCCAATTCCTAATATGGACCTGGCTCCAAATTTGTGAGCTTCATTTGACTGGAGCCGACGCTATGGGTGACGGAACACTTCTTTAGTCCACTTCTTTATACAGTTTATGATAGTTATGTACCATATAGAATACAAAAGTCAGAAGTAAAAAGAATGTTTAGGAGCCAATATCATAAAGAACAAAACTCGTTCATTTTAAAGTGTTTGCAGTGCAAGTTATTCCTCTCTTACCTCACACATTCGAGCGTCCTAATTATTCACTGAGTTTCAGAGACCAAAGCGGTAAAGGTCACCGTAAAGCAACAACTAGCATGCTAATAACAATATGTTCTGAACACGAGAGCTGTTTATACAACATATCTTTCACTAACAAGGACCATGCCACAACAACACGAATGAAGATATTGATTGATTTATTGATATTCTTAGACGTCTTACAGCTGAAAGACCAACAAGAGAGGGGATGGGAGGGTGGGGTCGAAATAGGTGAGACAAACAGTGTTGATGGAATAGGCTGGTACAAATAGGCTTCTGGTTAATTAGAGGTGTGGTTGAGGTAAACTGTGGTTCGCTGAAGAGGAAGAGAAGAAGGTTGAGGAGTGGTCCTGCTCCTAAATCTCAGTCAGTCATATTAACTCAGATTCAGACAGTATGCAGCACATTTTAACCTCAAGATATGTTGTATTAGGGGTGTAACGGTAACTGAAATATTTTGATAATGTATTCTCAAAAGTTTCACAATATATCAAATTACTAGCCTGATTCATCAGCCGCTTTCACTTCAATGAAACCAAATGACCTCGCAGAGTTAGAATTCGTTTGCTCGACGGTAGACGGGTACTTTTTTTATTTAACCAATCGCTGCTATTTGGTCGTGACGAATGTAATGTGTCGCTAACGGGGCTAACTGGTATATTAAGCTTTTCCCAAATCCCGTAGGAAGAAGGACAATAACGTCTTTCCCCTTGATAAAATTCACCAAACATTCTCTTTGTTCCGGCTTTAAATCCTTAATCTCGAGAATCGTTGCCAACACAGAATATATGACTCTTCGCTGATTGGCTGGAGCCCAAACTCGCACTTCTGAGGTTCTTGTAAACCATCTAATGTGTTCCGATTTCTGACCTAGTCGCTGAAGAGAAATTAAATTGAGTTAAGGCACTAGGCGCGCCATCCTGAGTATCGAATTACAAGTCTCTTTTAATTAAATTAATTGTTATGGTGAAGCAATAGATAAAAAACTACATATACCATGATTCTTTGCTCTGTTTCAGTCCAATCTACATGATGAATTAAGCATTTACATATTCACAATTTTGTTACCCTTCACTAAATATTGCTAGAAATTTTGTGAGATGCATATCATGAAAATATTGCATTGAGAGATTTGGATATCATGACATCCCTAATCTGTACTGAGGTAAGATTATTTATCTTCAAAAAACTGAAATGTGTTTACTCTAAAGCTTTTGTCAAATTGACAGAATACATTTTTTCTTTTGCTATGGATCCTATAGACGAGTGAGGGATTAGACAGATATAAGATACCCTCGCATATTACCCATACCGCACTGAGCATGAAACAGCAATTTTGATCAAATTCCTTTACATCCCCTAATAACGTTGTAGAGTGCCCCAACAGAGCTTTTAATGAGGCGTAGTTCTGCATACGCCAACACACCTTAATTCCATCACTGGGCGAAAGGTTTTCTTATTTTCTTACTTACGTGAATCTTCCCAAACTGCAAACGAGTCCTTGTGGATGTTAAAAGCTTTTGAGAAATGTCAATAATGCATATGTGTGCGTGGGTAGACTCAATCATCCCCCCTAATCGTTCATATGAAGATGCAGAAGTTTGTACTCGCATGCTTTTGTCAAGTAGAGATTGGAGTCAAGAGTTTATTTGAAAAGCTATATTTTTTAAAGTAAGATATCAGCTCTTATCGCGGTGGAATAACTGCAGAAGCCCCAGAGAGTGCCAGAATGATGATGTTCGGCTCCCATGACTCCCTATGCAGTGCAATAAATAGCCTAGATGTTGCCATTTAGTCTCTCCGTACTTTGGGGAAGAGATGGGAGATGACAGCTTACTTTTTCAGCCTGTCGGTTACTATGGTTTCCCCTCTCCTGGAAATGACTTTTTTAAAATCTTGTATATTACCTGAATGTTAATAACTTTTGATGGATCATGATTTTGTTTCTTGCGTTAGAGAAATTGTAGAAAGCGATTATACATAAATATATTTTGTTTTTGAAATGTGTGAATAGGGTTTCTGGGAAGGTTTAATTGAAAAGTGATTTGTTTTAGCCCAAACTAATTTCGAGTAGTAGGGAAAGTGTTTTTAATTAAATCTCCTTATTTGGAAGTTGTTCACAGTGCAATGGCTGACTAAACATATGCTGACATGTGCGATTCAAAGGTTATATTGGGAGGTTTGATTCTTTCTGCAAAGTTTATTTCTAACTTTGAGCAATACCTATGTTGTTTATTGCTTTTATGGGGGTCCTGTGTAAAATGGTTCGATCCTTGTGTTACTATGCAGGGTTCAGTCCAGGGGTGGCACCAGAAAGGGGGCTTGAAGGGGCCCTAGTCTCCCCTAGAATAGCCAACGCTCCCCCATAGTTCCCTTAAAGATTTTAACCCCAGTTTCATAGGGTAATCTAGCCTGATTCATCAGCCAGTTTCACTTTGTGGAAACTGTCTGACCTCGCAACATTAGGATTTGTTTGCTTGACGGTAGATGGGTACTTTTTTTATCAAACCAATCGCTGCTATTTGGTCGTGACGTATGTAATGTGCCAAATCCCGTAGGAAGAAGGGCAATATCATCTTTCCCCTTGATAAAATTCACCAAACATTCTCTTTGTTCCGGATTTAAATCCTCGATCTCGGGAATCATTGCCAACACAGAATGAATGACTTTGTCTACATCCATCTCAACCGCTTTGTTTACTGTTGTGCTGTACCATAAAAGGGACCCAAACAGGCGCTTGAGTTTATTGGCTTGGTGCGCGAATCAGGTGCGCGGTCTACAATTTATGGTTCTTGCAAACCATCTAGTGCCGAAATGTCAAACTCAAGCCCGGGGGCCAAATTTGGCCCGTGATATAATTATATTTGGCCCATGAGATCATATCAAATACGTATTAGAGCTGGCCCGCTGACTACGGACAGGCTATAGAGATATTATTTAT